AGATATTTTATTTATAACCTTTCCCTGTGTAGACTGTTATTGGACAGTATTATTCATGTATAAATGTATTGCAAGTGCATTGCCTTGTTTCTGTTGAGTCTCAAACTTGTTTCAACTTGAGATTCGCCACATAACAAGATATACTGAACCACAAAAGAAACGCCCCATTTCAAAACCAAACGCAAGATTTTGTTCATACAAAATCAGTGTTTTATGATGATTGTATCGTTTTATTAACATGTTTTTCAATCCAAATTGACAGTTATTACCAACATCAAAGTGTTTTCTTATGAAAAAGCATATCGACCAAACGCACCTAAAATGGCAGACATGGTAAAAAGGTTCCGTATGACATTCGTGAAAATGAAAATGCACGTGCATATCATGACAACCCTACCAATGAAAGCGAGTCCAAAACTCGCCTGAAATCATTTTTGTTTTGACACAATCACCATGCCACGACTTACAAAAGATTAGAGAAACCAAGTCTTGGGACGATTGCAAGTTGGCCAGACTGCACGAAGGGTAGCCAGTCATTTTAATGTTCATGCTAGGACAATCTACCGACTGCAGGAGTGGTATCAGGTCACTAACATCATCCAAGAGACGGAAACAGCAGGCCAGACTATTGGTACTCACAACAAACCCATCAGTGCCGATACAGTGCGTCGACGTTTGCGCGGGAGAAACCTCTGCTGTCACAGACCCTATCGTAGTCCTGTCCTCTCCACCAAAACCGACTGCAATGGGCAACTCAGCATCGAAATCGGGCGTTATCGACAATGGAGAACTGTGCTTTTTGCCTCATGAAAGCCGATATTGTGTTTCGACAGTCGATGGCAGAGTGAGAGTGTGGTGAAGGCGTGGGGAACTGTTTTCCAATAGAGTATTGTTGAAAGAGACTCATGGGGTGGTCCAAGCATCATGGTGTGGGGTGCAATCGGTCTGAACCAGTTAGTTGACACCGTGGTGGTCCAGAATGTGGGTCCAGGATGAGGAAATGACGTAACAGCTGGTCGCTATATTGACCAAGGCATAACACCCAACGTTGTAACACATTTTGGACAGTACAGAAATCACATCTTCCAGCAAGACAACGCTCGTGCCCACACTGCCAGAGTAACATTGGATTTCCTAAGACAACATGGCATCCAAACCCTACAATAGCCTGCACAGAAGTCTTGATTTGGGTCCAATAGAACACCTTTTGGACGAGATTCAAAGACGACTGAATGACCTCAACCCAAGGCCGACAACTGCTGCTGGACTCGATCAGGTGTTTCACAGAGTATGGACCCAAGTGCCTAAGGCCTTCATCAACGTGCTAATTCATTCCATGTACACTATTGTACAGACGAAGCAACTCTTTCATCGATGCCCATAGAATCCACAACATACTAACTTGAGGTATCTTAATGGTACCATTTTTGGTGATTTTCTTTGCGTGAACTCTTAATGTGATTCCCGAAAATGTGTTAACCATAATTGTCAAGTTTGAACTCAATCCTTCGCTTTGATTGTTCATCAGAGTGAATTAAAGTGTGTGCTTTTAAGAAACCGCTATCGGTGCGACATTTCTATTGTGGTTCAGTATATATACAGTATAAATACAAAAGAAATCAGAAATGAATGTCGGATTAAATAGTATGCAAACAATAAAGAGGAACAATATTTTCTATATCGACAAGGTCTATACTCCACCAGGTGCGACGTGTCGGTGTAGATGCTGTTGTGTATGGAGCAAGTGATATTTAAGAAATACACTTCGCTCTACCACCATGTATAGTGTAATAAAGCACACTTTCGCCCTGGACTATTATAACGTTAAAGCACTGTATTTCTTAAATATCGCTTGCTTCATACACAACAGCATCTACACCGACACGTCGCACCTACTGGAATAAGGACCTTGTCGATATAGAAAATATTGTTCCTATTGAAGCCAAATTTAATACTTTCTAAGGATAATTACGATTAATCTAATACAGAAAACAAACGACGGTGTCGGTGACCTAAATTAAGAATCCTCGCACAGGGCTAACTGGCGCGCTGTTCTATTGACGTGTCTGCCCCCCGACGTTAAGACGAACGTTACCGGAAAAAAACAAATGATAAACAGTTTGATGACGGTTTACGTTCGGATTAAATATCTTCTCTAAAATATTTTAATTATATCTGTGATTTACGTAAACCATATGGGGCAATATGAACGTTGCATTTCTGCAAGTTCAGATCAGTACATCCAGATGAAACTGTGTAGTCAAGCGACATTCCACGATTGCATTGTGGGAATGTAAACATTGCGAACGTTACCGTGTCGCTGAAAACTTGTGAGTCGAATTGAGACATTTTAACCGCCGGAAAACATAAACGTAATGTTTCCAACAGTGATGTTAGATGCGTGAAGCAACTGCAAACCAAGAAACTGGAGGCAACGGAGTAGTTACTGCAGGAGGCTGTACGAGACGATGACAACTGACATGCACCGTGACGTCGCTTACAATTGTGACGTAATGCAAAATTGTTCGATTACGAGGGGGCAGACTAGAATGGCGCAGTGACGCCAATACATTGTGACGTAATTAAAAAAGTGCACATTATCGTCTGATAAAGTACTGTCAGCGCCTTTGATCTTTCACCGAAGCATCTTAGAAACAACATTATGCACAAGAAGAATACATTACATGGATGATATTTGAGTTCATACAGTTGAAGAGGTTAAAGTATAGTGTGATGACATTACTGATAGTTGTTTTGATTACAGATAATGATTGAGGCCTGATGGACAAAGGGTGGGGAAGGGTATATCATTGATCGGCCTTGATTAGATGATGGTAAGCTGTAGGGATGTATATAATAACCTTGATCTCTGTTGATTGTAGGGTTGACTCGTTTGTTGTTGATTGACTCTAAGAGGTTTCTTATCCTGTAGTCTGGCCGGTTAGGTTCGAGGATGTTGATGTTGTTCCAAAGGATGATATGATACGGATTGACTTTGGTGTAGTCGGATATGGCTGATTTGGAGTCTTTTCTTCACAGATGTCTGATGTTTCTTGATTCTCATGTTTAGGTGAAATGTTCCGCCCCGTAAATCATACTCTCATACCGTCATACCAGCTTCTAAATACCGCTTAAAGAAGATGCTAAGAATAGACCAGAAGATAAATTCATGATGATGGTAACGCGACGTACAGATAAATAGGAACCAGTATTTCCTTAGGCAGCATAGTGTGGCGACACACTTTTCAATGACAGCGTCAAACGTCCCGTAATCCGATGATATCGTTTTTAACTATGGATATGTGTTGATAGATCACCGTCAAATAATGACGGGACCAGATGTTCACCAATATGTAAGCGTATCTTCTCCCATCGGTTGCGGTCATCACACGTGCAAGGCGTGTTAACTTCTCACCTGGAAACATCACTGGGACATATAGTACAGCACAAAACAGGCAATTGCATCGGACACAACTTTCTTCGCTGATGCGTTAAATTTGCAGCTGTCCTCGGCCACACGTCTACCACAAAACGTTTTGAAAGGATAGGGGCGGTGGGGTAGCCTAGTGGTTAAAGCGTTGGCTCGTCACGCCAAAGACCCGGGTTCGATTCCCCACATGGGCACAATGTGTTAAGCCCATTTCTGGTGTCCCCCCGCCGTGATATTGCTGGAATATTGCTAAAAGCGGCGTAAAACTGAACTCGGTCAGTCAGTCAGTCAGTCGTTTTGAAAGGCTGACTAAGGCACCAAATATAGTATCCCTGATCCGAACACATTTGAGCATGGGTCGTATGCTGCTATTTGAAATCTCAGTAAAAGATCAGGCTCCAATATACCTTACAAGGTATATACCAAACACTGGATCTGCTTCAACATTTCTCCACATAAAATGAAATTGCCTGCTGTACGTTCTTTCTGATACTTCCCTTTACTTGGAATCGTTATGCATATATAGAGAATACTAAACGATGTCCATTGTAATACCATATTTATGAAAAGAGTAATTGGTTTGGTATCTAACGAGCGAAAGCGAGTTAGATACCAATACCATTCACGAGTTTCATAAATATGGTATTACACGGTACATCGTTTAGTGTTTTATTTATTACTCACCCAACATTAGCAAAATATTACCGAGCAAAGTACTTCTTTCCTAAGAATTCAACGAGTGTGATGACTCTCAGCTTTCCACGAGTCAAGCAAGGCCTAATAAAATTGTGACAGAGGTATTAGCATTGTGACGTCATAACTGTAAACCAGTTTTACGTCATACGTACGGCACCACGTGATGTTATTATAAAATGTGTAAAATTATTAAACAGTGATATCTTCAACGGGAGAGTAATAAATTTGAATATGACCGGCGTTGCTGTTTCACTTGAGCTAACTCAGGTGTGTAAATCACTGGCATCTAACTGGCACCTATGACTATCGATATACTCGAATCTTAATTCAAACATCTTGGACAAGTTCCCTTGGTTACTTTCTGCCAATCCAAGAAAAACCCATGACATGTGTGTCTGGAAGAACAGATAGGAAAGATTGAAGCACAGTGAGAATGGGAATGCCTACTTCTTGCATAAACGTCCTCTCCCCAAATTTCACACAGATGTTTCCTATGACAGTTCGCATATTGTCTAAGAAAACCTCAGATGATGTTTATCAATACTTATCTGACAAATTGTTTTGAAACATATGGTATATTTGGGATTACACTTTCTCAGTAAAGTACAGATTCTAGTACTTTTGTTGGGTTGAGTCCATCAGGGATCCACACAAGAAGTTGTATATCCATAGGACTATCGTCCAAGTTCATTTCTGTCAGTAAATTCTTTGAGTGGCATTTGGAAGTTCGTGTGGCGAACAAGGGAGATAGTTCTACCGCATATAATGTAAGTTAAATGTAATAAAGAAGTTGTATATCCACAGAACTAGCCCGCTTGTCAGTTTGTGTCAGTGTGACCCGTCATCTCATTAAGTCGAAGGAAAACAGAAAGGATTGAGGCTAGTTACCTTTTATACAGAGGGACAGATTTCATTACACATACCGTAAAGCAATAGACACGTCTTATATACATATATAGTTACATATTGCCTTTCAATATACAGCCTATGTACAAGTATACATATTTAAAATGATAGACGTTTCAGGAACAGAAGAATTTGTTCTGCTACATATTTTCAGCTTTATCTTCGAGTGGAAGATATTTATGTACAGTCAAACAGCCTTGTGTCAGTAAGTCCCCTGAGGCCCTGCGTTTTTCTTCTTTAGTTATCATTCTGTGGTTGTGTCGAACTTCGGATTACTCGAAGTTTTACGTAGATCACTTCGACACAACGGGGTTTGACTGAACATAAACACAACATTAGTTTGATCACTTTTGCATATGAGTATCTGACAAGCACATCGAGCAGATATATAATAGATCCTTGTCCGATATTATATACGGTTATATAAGGTACGCCGATGACACAGCGTGGTCACGTGGTGTGGAGTAGTGTCAATGACGTCACACTCGAAGTTCCAGGTAGTTGAAGTCCACAAGAAATGCCGCCCCAAGAATGAGCATCTTGTCCTGGGCTGACAGCGGCGACAGGTCTAGAACACATGGAAACACATATGCACAATCCTGATATTATTTTATCTCATAGTTTAAAGTGTTTTCTTAAACCAAAGTATAATGAGTGGTCAAGATCAAAGTTTGTTTAAGAAAATTGTAAAAGTCATTTAGTGAATGAGAGAGCTGAATCAACTCCTCGGCTTAACGGGGTAAATAAAATACATTTCGCAAAATCGTAATTTTACACCACATCTGAGTGATTTTGGATCGGTAAACGAAGACATTGCAACGAACGTCTTATTCGACTGCGGGACATAACCTAACGCATGTTCATGCTCTGAATCATGGCGTGAATGAAGATTTTATGCCCCATACAACTTTTTGTTATTTCGTGTCAGCCTTTTGTATAGTTCATTGTGAACACTCCACAAGAAGACAGTTCAGAGACTGGCAATACAACACTCAAAATGTAACGTTCGGACGTCAAATGACAAGGTTACGATTGTGGACATAAGTATTTTGTGTGATTGGACTACATCAATTTGGACAATCAATAGTGCTTGTATGTCACATATAGAATACATGACACGATAACAATTACCATTATTCTTTATCACGACGTTTCAGAGATACTTCTTGCTCCTTCATCAGTGGTTATCCACAAAACGTGCCATGTACTCATGTTCTTCCAGCTTCTAGCTTCATATCACAGATAGGTTCACTCTGCGTTACTTACACTGGATCTTGAAGTCATTCAGGAATGCACATCTCGCTGTACAGGTCTCGTACGTTTTGGAAATAACCGCTACTTTCTCCTCAGATCGGTCGTACACCTGGAACCGTGCGTCAAGTCTATAACTATAAAACAGTCTGATATGTCTCTCAGTGAGATGATGGATGATGGCATGGATCACAAGACGAGCTTGAGCCAGAACATTCACAGAACATCTCTTGATTACCAAATCACGCGAGAACTGACTGAGGATCAGGCGGTTTCAATGTGTGATCTGGTTGAGTGTGTGACCACGTCGTGTTGGATCACGAGCTGGACCACGAGTTGAAAGACAAGTTGGACCACGTGTTGGATCATGCTTATTGCAGCTTTAAATGCGTATATTTAGATACTGCATTATAGGGGTGACTATTGAGGGGGAAACCACTATTGCGATAGCGATAGTCTATTGCGACCAACTATTGCAATACCATTTCAATAGTTTTTATTATCCTTGAATTGTCTCATTTGAAGTCATTTCACAAATGAATGTATAGTTTATAATAAATAAAAACAAGTTGAAGTAGTTTCAGTCTCTTTTGATAAGAAACTTGAAACCCAGATCAAGTAAACAGTTAACAGGTATTAAACAGGTGTGGATAACTCAAAATCAAAGTGAACGAATCTTTTACTTCCTGTATTTTGCGCTGCGCATTTATCAACGGAAGTCCATTACTAAACTATCGATAGTCACACATACTATCGATGCATCGATAATTTTTCGTTTCTACCATCGATTAATTGCTATCGGAGACTCAACAATTGCCATCCATCGATAGTTCGATGCATCGTTACAGCCCTACTGCATTGTACCGTCAAAGGTGGAAGCAGCATGGAAGCGCGTCTTCGGGTGAATCTCGGTACACGAAGTCCAGGGTACATGAATACAGAGACTCTTTCTAACGCATTTGTTTTATCAGGTGAACATGGCCTCATTCGGTGTTTTTGACAGAGTGTGATGGACACTCAACCAGGCATTGTGGTTTAAAGAGGGTTTATGAATGAATGAATGAATGAGACTTACATATAATCTGTTGCGTGATCCACAGCGACATGAGGACCAGGCCCCCCTCAACATGAAGCCTCCCTGCCCAGACAGAGAGATGTCAAACTCAGGCCGCCAACACGTCCAGCTGCAGACACATGTTCATGTTATTTCATATCAGATGGACTTCACTAAAAACAAAGACCCTGCATGAAGCACTGGACATGTGGAAGAGGAGTTCCGGTCTGGTTTCTACTCCCGCCAAAACTTCAAATGTTATACTTACGTCATGGCATTGTACATTGTAAATTGTATTAGCAGATAAGAAAACAAAATAAAATGGGAAACTAATATTATGTTTAAACATAAAAATCTTTTTTGAATCAAGATAGCATTGCAAGTTTGCACTTCAAGCCTGTGCGGCGTAAGCCAACTTGTAAAAGTCACCATGTATATGATATAAGTGTTCATTTATAATGTAATGTTTTGTGCAAAATCACATGTTTTGTTTTGTCTCGTACTTACTTCTCTGTGACCGATGCCAATACGACCCCTGGCGGTCGTTCTATGAACATTTCCTGTAAGTGACAACAACACAACCAACTGGCGCGGCACCGCCAGGGTCTGTCCAATCGCATCACGACGCTTCCATAGTTGTCCTTAATCTCCACTGTCATTGGTCGTTGATGGAGGCAGATCCGCCATTTTGTCTCACTTGCTGAACAAAACAAACAGTATTCAAAATGTTTGAAAACATAATTTGTTACTGTGACCGGAAATCATAAACAAGGATTCATCCCAAAGAAGTAAAGGACAATGGTTCAAGTCAGTTAAAAACAACTTTGTCTGTTAAGTCAAATTCGAGGGTGTACATATACAATACCATATTCACACGAAGCATATACATGTAAACATCTCAGTTTCACGCATGAGAGTCATCAATGCAGCTTTAGATTGATTTAGATGATCTACGTGTCCAGCTTTCATTTTCAGTTAACTCCAATATTTCTTGCGTTTAGGGGTTGGGGCCCCTGATGGGCTTCACACATTGTTGCACCCTTGTGAGGAGCCGCCGTGACGAGCCCATAATTCATATCTACTATGACGATATTTGAATCAGGTAGAAATAAATATGACGAATGAAAGATGTCATACATTATACAACATAACAAAAAAGAAACGCGTGTAGATAATCTTCAACCATTGCCGTAATATGACTTTGTTTAATCATTCCAAATACTCACATTCCTTTGCAAAGTAACAGGCTGCATCGTCAGCGTTACATATAGTGTAGGTGTTGTACCGCTCAAAACTAGTCTTCAAAAGGTAGCTGTAAATATATATCATAGTGAAAGCTAGTCTTCAGGAAGGTAGCTGTAAATATGTATTATAGACGTCAAAACAACTATTGTCCTCAACTAGTGGAAGGAGACATTTTGAATTGAGATATTGAGATACTTTTCACTGACCAAGCCATATGTGATGTTTTCGATTTAATGCTGAAACTAACAAATGATAAGCATTGAAAGACTGAAACCAGCCTAATGCCATTGGTATTGTTACGAGTTGATTCCCAAGTTGGAATTCAAATTATAAGCCAGGAGTCAGTAACTTCAGACCTAAAGTATGAAAACAGTAAAAAAACGCAAGATCAATAAATACATAACAAATCATATTGAAACACAGAGGATTAGGTTAGTGGCCATACAAGGCAATAGAAGTGACTCCAGGAAACAGAGTTGGAAGTCCGTGTTTTCCCACAGGTATCTTGTCCGGACTGGGGGCGCTGGATAAAGCTCAAGCCAGGTCATAGAGACATTAACCGGTTGGGATCGGCAGGGTAACGATGATGTCACAACTTTGTGTGTGTGTGCGCGCGCTTTTACGAGCGCTTCACGTATCTGGGTCTAACAAGCATCAGGCACAGACTTACACTGTATCCTGAACTGTTACCGTATTGCTTGATATTTGCATGAAATATACCCAATATCGTATCACATACATTTTCAGTGCCTGTGGATATATAGCAATGTATCTCCGGGTGTGTGTAAGATAGTCCTTACGGATATATACCACTGCATCCACGGATGTGTGTAAGATAGTCCTTTCGGATATATACCACTACATCCCCGGGTGTATAAGACACTGCCTATGGATATATAGCACTGTATCTCCGGGTGTGTGTAAGATAGTCCCTTAGGATATATACCACTGTATTTCCGGGTGTATAAGACACTGTCTATGGATATATAGCACTGTATCTCCGGGTGTGTGTAAGATAGTCCCTTCGGATATATACCACTGTATTTCCGGGTGTATAAGACACTGCCTATGGATATATAGCACTGTATCTCCTTTCGGATATATACCACTGCATTTCCGGGTGTGTAAGATAGTCCCTTCGGATATATACCACGGATGTATAGCACTTTCCGGGTGTATAAGACTGTACTGCCTATGGATATATAGCACTGTATTTCCGGGTGTGTGTAAGATAGTCCCTTCGGATATATACCACTGTATTTCCGGGTGTATAAGACACTGCCTATGGATATATAGCACTGTATCTCCGGGGGTGTAAGATAGTCCCTTCGGATATATACCACTGTATTTCCGGGTGTATAAGACACTGCCTATGGATATATAGCACTGTATCTCCGGGTGTGTGTAATTAGTCCTTTCGGATATATAACACTGTGTCTCCGGATGTGTGTAAGATAGTCCTTTCGGATATATAGCACTGTATTTCCGGCTGTGTGTAAGATAGTCCTTTCAGATATATCACTGTTTTCGGGTATATAGAAAATATCTTCTGATATTTCACTGCATCTCGGGGTGTATAAGATAGTCCTTTCGGATATATACCACTGCATCCCCGGGTGTATAAGAGAGTGCCTATGGATATATAGCACTGCATCCCGGGTGTGTATAAGACGATACCTTCAGATATGTAACACTGCATCCCGGGTGTATATAAGACGATACCTTCGGATATGTAACACTGCATCCCGGGTGTATATAAGACAATACCTTCGGATATGTAACACTGCATCCCGGGTGTATATAAGACAATACCTTCGGATATATACCACTGCATCCCGGGTGTATATAAGACAATACCTTCGGATATGTAACACTGCATCCCGGGTGTATATAAGACAATACCTTCGGATATGTAACACTGCATCCAAGGTGTATATAAGACGATACCTTCAGATATATACCACTGCATCCGGGGTGTATATAAGACAGTACCTTCGGATATGTAACACTGCATCCCGGGTGTATATAAGACAATACCTTTGGATATATACCACTGCATCCCGGGTGTATATACGACAATACCTTCGGATATGTAACACTGCATCCCGGGTGTATATAAGACAATACCTTCCGATATATAACACTGTGTCCCGGGTGTATATAAGACAATACCTTCGGATATATACCACTGTGTCCCCGCTGTATATAAGGATATATACCTTCGGTATGTAAGACAATATAAGATATATACCACTGTGTCCCGGGTGTATATAAGACAATACCTCCCGATATATACCACTGTGTCCCGGGTGTATATAAGACAATACCTTCGGATATATACCACTGTGTCCCGGGCGTATATAAGACGATACCTTCGGATATATACCACTGTGTCCCGGGTGTATATAAGACAATACCCTGGGATATACACCACTGTGTCCCGGATGTATATAAGACAATATTAGATATATACCACTGCATCCCGGGTGTATATAAGACAATATAAGATATATACCACTGTGTCCCGGGTGTATATAAGACAATATAAGATATATACCACTGTGTCCCGGGTGTATATAAGACAATATAAGATATATACCACTGTGTCCCGGGTGTATATAAGACAATATAAGATATATACCACTGTGTCCCGGGTGTATATAAGACAATATAAGATATATACCACTGTGTCCCGGATGAATATAAGACAATATAAGATATATACCACTGTGTCCCGGGTGTATATAAGACAATATAAGATATATACCACTGTGTCCCGGGTGTATATAAGACTATACCTTCGGCTTTATCTGTCTGTTATTTCTCTGTGTACATAATACTGTACATAGAAGAACAGCGGTGGATGAGAAAATAGAACCATTTATAAGACATAACCTCAAGTAGTACGAGGTACTTTAAGACAGCACCTGTACACATGACTTTACACATACAATATACTGAATCTTAATACATAGATGTGATACAGATTTTGTTTCGTGACATCTATTACAGTCTGCAGTTATAGCTACAGTCACAGACACACACGTACCGTCCAGTAAGTCCAACTGCTGGTATATCCTCAACTCATCCTGTCCCTCAAGGAAAGCAATGTCCCTGGGGGGTGGGTCTGGGTCCCGAGGGGATCTAGGGGTGCTCGGGGACCTGGGGTCTGTATATCGGGAAGGAGATGGCTGTGTGAGGATAGGTCTATCCATACTCCATTGTAGCTAGGTCTTATCTCTGACCTAGATATATAGACGCATGCCGTAAAACCTCTTAACCGTTGTCCAGTAGGAATCCTCTTGTTGACATCATACACTTTGTCTCTTACACATTACATGAAACAGATTTCACGAGCTTATAAACGAAAGGTACCCAGTGTCGGTAGATGCTTGCTAGTGGAGTTGCAAGACGTTAATGATAAATCAGAAAGTGGTTGAAGAATGTCAGTTTCCTCCAGTATACAGATGGCTGTCCGCTATGACTAAAGATTGACACTTTAAGATGTTTAGGATGGAGGTGTATGTTCAAGCATCAAGTCTCTGCATGGCATCGAAAATATTACAACAGGGGAGGTGATTGCATTCTGAATGAGTGTATGTGAGAGTGTGGAAGACGGCTATTCCAGATATGAAACACGGCGATTTAGTTGAGGTATTACTGGACACCTCGCACTCAGCTGACTGTATACACAAGCATGTGTCTACAGACACATCTCTATCTTGTTACGATATATCCTGAATGGGTGACTAGGATTAACACAACCTAGCAATGTCATCCATGTAATCCTGTATGCTGATTCTGCAGGTCACCTTCTTGTTTTATGAGTGTTTTAGTGATAAAATTACCATATGTATCTGAAGGTATGTGTAAAGTTTTGCTCATGTTAAAATCAAATTTATTTTGAATAGCACTTCGGAACGAGGATCGTTGCCCGCCACAGCTGACATTTTCACTCGTGGAGATTTCATTTTCGTCAGGTGACTATGAGATAAAGATGTAGTTATGGCTAAACACACACTCACACCCACACACAAGATATATATATATAAGACTATACCTTCGGATATATACCACTGTGTCCCGGTGTGTATAAGACTATACCTTCGGATATATACCACTGTGTCCCAGATTATATAATTATTATTATTATTTTATTGGTAACCGCTACAATCTCCCTGAAGAGTAACGAACGAAACATGTTGGAGAAAAAGGCATTCTGTCTTTATTTATCTATGTAATATATGCATATATATATACTTTTGCCTGGTTGTTTATCACTGTACATAAAGCGTTGTTAAACATACGCCATATATTTTAGGGACACTTCATCAGCGAAATCAAGATGAAAACAGTATACAGTGAGTTCAGTTGTGCGTAGTATAATGTTCCAACTAGCTTTATTATTGGCCAGCATATCCTTTGGTTGGGCGAAATGTAATGAATCATTGACAGCCAAAACCTCACCATGGCACCATTATCAACCCACACTTTTCCATGGCAACAATATTAGTCCTTATATATAACACCTTACATCATATATCTATACCGTGCAAAACAAAATATACCATAACATATTCGTACTTCGTTAGGATGAGAAAGCCACAATAACTCGGTGCGCCTAGTGGCTGCAAGAGTTGTATACTCCCCAGGGAGTTGAGATTGATACTACAATGTGCCGTTGAGATTGACATCCAATGATCGAGGGAAAAATTACCAGCGCATGCGTGAGCATGAACTAGTTGCCTGGATATGTGCTCTATTTAAATATCCTACGATAATAATAATAATATTCCTAGATATGGCACCACCCAAAATCAATACTGGTATGTCAACCAACGCTTGATAATATATAACGCCAACATCATCTGAAAACAACCAATATGTAATAACCAGTAACCTGTGGCCTATCAGTTCAGACAGGCAGATCCCCAGCAAGCCTGTCCTGAACCCCAAACAATGGGGGCAAGCACGGTACTTTACCGTATTAAGTGAATTAAGTAATTCATCATTGGGCGTTTATAGTGAGTTTACGAAAATCACGAAAAGAGGTTTGGGGGTGTTTATAGCCGTTGGAAATATATGCCATGAATCATAAGGGAAACTAATAAATCTCTGTATAGATACAGTCAGCTTGCAATACCGGCTGATGTCTATAACTATAACCTGTAAATCAATGCAAAACAAACCGTACACAAATACACGTAAAAGGGGGGAAACACGTCCACACTGGGGTTTGTATTACTCTAAAGTCAACAGTAGATAAGTATAACTGTTTAAGTTAGTGAAATGGAAATTACGCATTGACGTTAGTGGTCCCGATCTCAAATGAGTTCGAAAATTGATATACAGTGGAATCTGTCAAATCCGGACTCTGTGTAATCCGGTTTTATTGTTGTATTAAAATATTTGTACAGAGTTATGGCCCTTGCTCCATCCTTGACAAGTCCGTGCACACTGCGTGACTTTAGGACAAACTTTATATAAGAGATTTACAAATAGTGTCACAATTTCTTTCAACCACTTATGGCCCTTGATCATTGCTGCTTTACTGTTTTGATCATGATTTCTCCTTGAATGTAATTATATTTCTTTCCACATCTCTTACTTTCTATTTGTATGTGGAGGATTTCGTGTTGAGATGACGAGACGGCTTGACACGGCAACACACTTTTAGCATGCTTTCACATATTTAGCATGCTTTCACATATAAACGTGTTCCCATTAATCTAGGACGAGATATTTTGTAACTCAATCATTTAAAAATTCAGTTCTCTAACTTAAATGTATTTTAAGAAATCCTGATCCCATCGAAATCGGGCGGGCTCACTTATCCAGGCATATCCACACATCGGTTACGGAGGTTTTAGGAGGTAGATATAGAAGTATTTCAACAAACAATGAAATAAAAATCAATGTTTCTGGTTTCGTTGCCCGGGTTCGATCATCTGCTGTCGTCCATATGGTGCTGGGTTTCCTAACGGTGACATCAGGCTGTACTCAGGGCCTGAAACACAGACACACGTCATCAGACAAACAGGTTGGACAAATACAACTTTCATATTGATTGGATGTTATGACATATTACTGATGGGAGGAATTCGACCTGGGAAATTATTTGTTTTGTTTGTTTATTGTTAAACGCCGCACTCACCAATATTCGAGTTATGTGATGGCGGTCTGTAAATACTCGAGTCTAGACCAGACAAACTGCTATTCACAGCATGGGGATACGACGACATGTGTTAAGCAAGTGAACAGGCCTGACCACCCGATCCCGTTAGTCGTCTCTAACGACAAGCATGGGTTGCTCAAGACCAATTCTAATCCGGATCTTCACGGGTCCCTCGGAAATTGGGGTCGTAGAGTCGATCATTTTGTCCACATGTTACATCTCGACTAGTGACACTGATCGGCGTGTCTGTATAACTGACTTACCAGAACCGTCATTGTTGACAAGCAGAGAAGCCCGATGTTTGTGAAAAGATTCCAATTGGATGGGGAACCTTAAAATCAATTTCAAGAAGAGATTAATACCAGTTTCCAAACTAGTCTTTGTCTATTAGACAAGGTCATCAACAAATTTTATCCAAAGAAAACCAGAATTCGGTTTTTAAGGCGTATGTTACTATCACCATAACTTCAGAGAAGATTGTTTAAAGTTTGACAGTTAAATAACTGAACTATTAGCACTATTCATCAGGGTCATAAACTGGAAACCAATTGAAGTTTACTTAATGTAGTTTTATACACAATTGATAATTGCCAGATGTATGCGTCGAGATAACGTACAGACGCAAAATATGAAATCATATAATCTTAAAATAACCGAACATCACCACTTTTATAACTGTCCAATGAGGACAGAGTTTTATTTAAACTGAATATTCATTCAAGCGTCTGTAAAATGTTTCGTTTTGGAGATCTCCAAAGTGTTTATAAGTGTTTGTGAAACTTACCACAAATGTCCGGTTTTACGTGACTTTTATAAGCGCAAACTGGGCATATGTCTGCGTCACGCAGCCTTGAACAGAAGGTGCTATCTGGAATTTGGGGACATTGATCTGCACAGTCCAGACCATACCAGCCAACATCACAGCTGGTGCACGTCCCCGTGACTTTATCACAGGTTTTACATGTGGAGGAACACTCTATGTGGCAGTACGGACCATACCACCCGTCAACACACGTGTCTGATCTGCAGGTGCCATCTGGATTACAAGACATCCCCTTGCACTTCTCAATGCAGTCGGACTGACAATCAGGTCCAAAGTAATGGGAATTACAGGACAGGCATGCGTCAACGCCGTTACATCTTCCACATCTCTTGTTACAGGGAATGGCGCAGTGAGTTCCCCAGAATCCGTCTTTGCACCCTGCCGCACATTTAGGTTGTCCATTTGTGGCTACCGTACACTGAAGGTCATTGCAATTATTCGGGCACTCATATTGACATTTTGGACCATAGTTGTAAGACTCAGCACATCCATGAAGACAATGTCCAGAGGAGTCACACTGCAGATGTTTACAGTACGTGCAGCCACAGGCATCAGCATAAACGACTGAAACCAAATGTTATTCAGTGGTTATTCCAAAGGTTATTCAATTGTCCGACATCGTATACTCATCGACACCAATGCATGTAAATCTTAATAATTATCTCCTAAAAACAAAATCTACATAGACATTTCTATATTTGAGAAAAGTCCTAACACCGTACCTAGATATGACAGGGTAAGAGTTATCACGGCTATTCTGTTTCCATAGACTAGATTCAGTATACCCAGCATTACGAGAAGTGTGTTGGGGTGAAGAACCCCAGACGATCCCCCTGGCAAACAGGCACCATCCACTTGCATGCAACGTCCACTTGTGCAGTCCTTGCATCTCTCATCACAACGTGGCTTGTAGTATCCTGCTTTACAGCCTTCAGCACAGTTGCCAGTTGGTTTGTCACAGTAGACTTTCTTGGTTGATTCCTCCTCGTCACAGTTGGTCGGGCAGGGCTCATCGCACTCTGGGCCCCAGAAACCTGGAGAACATGTTGTTTCAGGGCAATCTACACAGGCGGTTAGAAGTCCGACTAATACTGAAACAGCAGTTTGAAAAGAAACTAGTTTTACCATCCGGTTTCGATATAATAATCATTTCCATAAACATCGAAATATCAATTATTTGATTCCGATTATATCCTGAGCATGAGTTTATGAACTCTATCGATTAGGTGATGATTCCAGATGTTTTGAAAAGGTGTCACGCCGGCGGTGCTCGTCACAAACACATGCAAAGCCAAATCAAGTTTCATCTGTATAGGCACTTAATGAAGGATATTTCATCCCCAACGCCTATCATCACTTGCTGAATTAACCAGTGCTCAGAATGAATCCGACTAATACTGGATCAGCAGTATGAAAACACATGTTTCGAATACAATCGATATTTATATAACATAGTCTACCATTGATGAAAATCAAGGACCAGTTATTTCAACATTAGCTGTCGAACTGTTGGAGAAAGGAAACTGGCAATATTTGAAACAAAACCATCATGTTTTACTTCTCCTACTTTGATCAGAGTGATCTGCTGTGATTCGGTTGAAAACCTTCAAAACCTAATGCTTTGCTGGGGGCTCAAATCCCATTGAAACAGGTAAGTGAAACGACATGTGATCAGTTGATAATTCAGTTTGACTACTGAACTTGTACACATGGACATGGTCTTATGCAAATCCACATGACATTTGAGCGATCAAAGACATTTCAAAAACTTACAAAGAAAACTGTCACAGATTAAATATGGACAAATGGTAGGAAACACTTACAATATCCGTACATTCGGAGAGGAGCTAGTACAAGCATGTCCCTCATGAACCTTACACATCTATTCTCACGAAATGTGCACCGACTGATATCTGCAAATGATAAAGAATTAAAGTTCTTTTCTTTAAACGATCATTTTACTGTTAGAACATCATTTATTGTTCACAAAATTCAAACTATCAAAAGTCACATGTCAAGAAGAACACGAAGATCGCCAATCATGATTGGGTACTCATCACTGGGTAACCTAATTTGCATAAATTGATCATCAAACTTACTATACAGGTTTTTTTTAAACTAAGTGTTATTGGAAATATGTTTCACGTAGGATTTACCTATATTATATAGTGCTAAACAACAAAACTTGGCCATTATACAACTTGAATACAAACCTTGTAATCTACGTTACAGCAACACTACCATATCCAAATAGAAATTAAGAAAATTACTGGTGAAATGTTGCTATTCGATTACACAGATTTATATACACCTGGAACTTAATTAAGCACCCCCTGATATATTTCATGATAGTAGAGCAACTGTTAACCATCGTTAAACATGAATGATATCTCTGTATTACAACACATCTCTAGTAGTCTAAAAAGGTGTTTCAGTTCCTTTGCACTCGTCACAATGCATCCCTTGTGCACGTGAAGCATACAACCCACACTTTTCCCAAAACTCAGTTTCTCTGATATGCAATTTATGGGTATAAAAGCAGACAAATTTGTAACTGTCTCCATTAATGAATACTGAAATGGCGAGGAGATGACTTTCTGAAGCACTAAGGTGGCAAATTGTAGGCATACATGCAACAGGCATGTCCTTCAAAGCTATTGGACGACAACTGGGCTACAGTCACTCGGTCATCAGCCGACTTGTCCGAAACATCAGATGACAGGAGATGTGAGAGATGGTTCAAGGCCTGGACAACCCAGGAAGACAACGGCCCGTGATGATCGCAGCCTGGCACGTCTGGTAAGGCGAGAACCCTTTCCCACAAGTTCGGGTTTGAAGCGCCTGTGGTTACCCTACAGACAATTATCCACCAGAACCGTCAGAAATCGCCTTAGGGCACTTGGTATGAGGTTCAGAAGAGTCATCAAACGTCCTGCTCTGTCTGATCTCCTTAAGAGACGACGTCTGGAGTGGTGTATGGCCCGTCGGCAGTGGAACCTGAGGACATGGAGGAGGGTCCACTGGTCAGATGAGAGCAGGTTCCTCCTCCACGTTACAGATGGTCGAATGAGAGTGTGGGGGCATAAAACACTGCTTACGTGCCCAGGAATATCCACCCTACTGTTCCTTATGGTGGAGGATCGGTTATGATCTGGGTTTGTCTTTCACACGACTGTAAACTGCAAATGGTGACTGTCCGAGGACATCTTAATGGTCAGCAGTACATCCGGGATATTCTCCATCCAGTTGTCGTGCCTCACTTTGACAACCATCCGTTGGCTACTCACCCGATATTCATGGACGACAACGCCAGGCCGCATCGTTCACGTGCTGTGACCGCACATCTCCAGAATGAGGCTATCATGGCATTACCTTGGCCAGCAATGAGCCCCGATTTGAATCCTTTGGAGCACATCTGGGACTTTCTTGGACGCCGTGTGAGGTTGAGAGAACCCCCTCTCCAGAATCTTGCACAGCTGGAAGCTGCTTTGCATGAAGAATGGCGGCAATTGCCACTTGATCGTATCAGAAGGTTTACCAGTAGCATGAGGAGAAGGATTCAAGCTGTCATCCAAGCACGTGGGGGATACACCCGATACTGATGCCAGACCCATCAGATGTTAGCATGTGACATTCCTTGTGCATCATTTATTGTAATAGTCAGCCATTGATAATGCTACGACCATACTTGTTCAGTGACTATTTTCATCAAAAATCAATAGTGACCAAATCACATTGGTTACGCTATTAAAACAACACGAATTGGAATCATTGTCTTGTTTTTCATTTGCCAATAGATCGTATGTTTCACAATAGCTAAGGTTCCACTATCTTTGGAATAGTGAGAAAGTTACAGCAAGTTTTGTTTCTCATCATCCAGAAAATAGGGGGGGGTGCTCAATTAAGTTCCAGGTGTATACATTAAAAGCTACAAAAGAGAAACTACAAAAAAGAACTGTTTCTTCGTTTCATTCATTATTTAAAGTACAGACAGTACATAAGAACAGAGACAATTCATCCAAACTGTAATCACGTTACATGTTTAGTTAGATGTAGAATATCAACAATGATAAGCCAGTTATAAGTAAATAATCATTTAATGTTTAGAACTTTAACTTTAGATCCATAAAACTCTCTTATCTGAGTAACCCTGATAGTGTGTGATGAACTGTAAAGTGTCACTGGGCAATCGTGCACATTTCAATCACGCCACTGAACAAAATGTCCGTCATGCCATGTGCTTTTGGCGCTTGGATGACTGCGCCAATACTACTTCTGGAGCCAGTGGACGGTCAATGCCAAAGGTACGTAACTATTGTGTGCAATCCGAGAAAAAGAAGATGCTCCTTTGGAAATGAGGCCACGTAGATTACACAGACGTCCTTCATCACCCACCACACATTTAAAGTGTAAAGCAAGAGCATATCCTTCACTTAGTTATTACTACTGAATAGGTCCGTTCATTTTAAAAACCTTTTGGTGACACTGGGTGTACAGTTTTATCTTATGAGATTGATATTGCATTGTCCCAATACAAAACTGTAAATAAGGAATACTATCTAATGAATAAATATAATTAAAAAATAATATTATATAGTCAATTTCATGGGGTAATGTAGATTGCACTTTTTTGGCAACATCATATTAAACATAAATTCTAAAGCAATTAAACCATATGTGGGTATGGGCGAAAGGGACAATACCTTAAATGGAAAATGTAATCTGTTTTGTTCACACTAGATGTCTATGTACTTTTAACTATTCACTTCAAATGTTTAACTATCATTGGAGACATGCACAATTTGGTGATATTGACTAACTTTTTACCCTGAGTCACACACATAAATAACAGATCATAAACAACTTCTATGTCTCGGATACCTACCAAGCCTGTCGCCTCATATAAACATGAAATGAACTGGTGAAATCAGTAAAAAGGTTTTTTTAACGCGGAGACAGGTAAAATTACAAATGGTGCGCGTTTCGTGAGAATAGGTGTACAGATGAATGTGGCCATGATACTTCGCAATAATAGCATTATTAAATTAAGTATTTCTCTCTTCTCGTTAGAATTGATTTGTATTTTTATGGAGTAACATGTACAATGTGAATGACCTCCACCATAAATTTATGTACAAAGTAAGTGACCCCCCTACATGTCATGTACAAAATTGATTACCTCCCTACTTTCCCAGAGCAAAATGGGTGACCCCCCTTAGCATCATCACCACTAGCCATAAATTATAATGGTCCCGTATCACTTATCACTTCCGGTGAACAGGCTTATAACAAACAGACGGTTATAACGAACTAATTTTGTCCCGACTACACACTGTATATATCATTCATAAGAGAACTACGGTTATAACGAACTAATTTTGTCCCGACTACACACTGTATATATCATTCATAAAGAGAACTACGGTTATAACGAACTATAATTAGTTGTCCCTTTGCGTTCGATTTAACCATAGTTTGCTGTAATACTATGTGACAATCACTGTACTGAAAGTATCATAAGACACGGGAATATTACACACAGATCACTTACTATTGAATCCAAGTGAGCTCTAACGACAAGCTGTATTATATTGCGACGGTTCTCTGGAACGTGACAATACAGACGAACAGTATGCTCTCCTTCGCTGACTGGGCTATGCGGGAGCAGAGGTATCTAAATAACCATTCCGTAATAGGGTATAGATAACAGCTACTATACAGCTGTAGACAAGTCTGCGCAAAGGGTACAAGTAGTAAGGTTCTGTTTGGCGACACGAATTATAATTAATAATGCGTTTTTTTCTAAGTCCAAAGCGACTTGGAACAGACCATGGCTTTATGTAAATTAATGTGCGATGATGTTGTATTACAAAGGACACTTATTTAAATGCCCATTTTGAAATTAGACTTAGCTTCATTATAATTTAACGATAGCTGACGTAAAAAATAATAACTTTAATACTGATACTATTAAGGAGGAAGCTACTTTTTTGTACCATGGAGTCTCACGATCACTATAAAAACAAACAGGTAGGAGGGGTCGTCTCAAAAGCAAAACCAAGACGTGTGTAGCAGACGGTGTTGGGGTCGGGCCGGGGAATAGAGTGAATAAGTTAAGTTTTACGCCGCACTCAGCAATATTCCAGCTATATGGCGGCGTTATGTAAATAATCGAGTCTGGACCAGACAATCCAGTGATCAACAGCATGAGCATAGTTCTGCGCAATTGGGAACCGATGACATGTGTTAACCAAGTCAGCGAGCCTGACCACCCTGCCCCTTTAGTCGCCACTTACGACAAGCATGGGTTACTGAAGGTTCATTCTAACCCGGATCTTCACGGGTCCTGGGTGATAGAGATATCAGCTGAGACAAGATAGTCCTTTAGGGGAATCAAACCGAGGAAGTAAAGGGCATGTCATAACAATTAACAAATAACATCCAGTCCTGTCGATCTTCGGGTGGTCATGCCACCTATATACAGTCAGACCTCGTTAATACGAACACTATTTCCCGATATCTGTGGCTTTCCGGTCGATAACATGACATAACAACGGAAAATACCTCCGTTTTCGAAGCGTCGTATGAATAACATGGGAGGCGAATCGTTTGATGTCGGGTATCATTCGAAAGCTCTGAACATCAACAACATCACTGAACCCTTGCCGAGAGTATTTTCACAGTTGTAAGAAGCGATTTTATTGGATAAAGATTGGTTTCTAATGACGCTTTTTCGCTACAGTCTGCAATAAGGGTCGTGATTGGTCAAAATCAGACACGTGACCTAAGGCAGCCATTCATATTACGGCAATGGATACCGTCCTCGTAAACAAAAACTTTTAGATTTAGACGAAAGTTTTGGGTAAAATAATGCTATTTTGAACATATTAAGCAAGAAATCGCTACCCATACGTAAATTATGGCTTTTATTCATTAGTTTATTCAATTTACATCGTTACTTTGCTCTTTGACAATGTTATTGTGAACCCGCTGCCGAAGCATGTGTCCGAGAATCGTTGTTTTCAATAACATTGCGAAAAATAGCTTATAATTTTAATTCGGTACCGAGCATATATTTCTGGATTGAAGTCTTTCCCAAAACAGCGTGGTCGTCGAAATTTCCCTTTCACTTATGATAAAGGGATCAAAGGGATGAGTCGCTAAGTCGCTAACCAAACAACGTGTCACTTTGGGTGGACTAGTCAGCAGCGCGGTCAACTTCAATCGTTCGGATTAACGCAGCTGTTTACAACTTAATTAGTCCAATCCGTTCCGACTGACCAGCGTTCGGAGGCGGAAACTGAATCATCGGACTAACGAGGTGTCAATTATATACAATATATAGGGAGATGATTTGGTGCCCGGTGAGTAGCGTTCGGAAGTCGGTGGATTCGGATTAACGAGGACCGGATTACCGCGGCCTGACTGTATTTTGAGACATTTTATACGATGGCTGATTTAAGATTTTCTATGGGTATCATACTCTTCTACATATCTTAAAGGTCACATGCAACCAAAAAAATCAAACATAATTAAAACACAATTATCACTTCTTCATGACATATAATATGCATTGCTGATTATGAAAAAAACAAATAAACAAAATTATAAGCGTATAATCGCAAATCAAAAGTGCAATATTTTGTACTTGGATTTACCTCCCTCGAAACGAAGCAGCCGGGATACCGAACCCAGTCAGAGCGGGTGGGTGTGCACTCAAGTGTAACGGCTGGTTCATTAGCAGATGCCGCCTTCACGGGTCATTGTGTGTGTATATATAGAAAGTTGGGTTTTGTAAATACATGCTCATTTTTTGTGTATAACATTTTGCAATCAACAAACATCATAACATGTCATGTGTTCAAGTATCACACCTGCCTGTCTGTGTAATTACATAATGTGACAGAGACCGAACTCGGGCCATAAATCAATGCGTTTTGTTTATGGTGTATAGCCTGATTGGTGTTAAGTTCAAATTGCATGTGGTCAGTGATCGCAGTTGTGTATTGAATATTGTCATTAGCAGACAGGCAGGCAGACACACTGGTGTCAATAAAACAAGACATTGAGTTTTGTCTGTGACAGCGACATATCTATATCACAGTTAGAAATCGTGTCAACTCTAAATAATGCTTTTAAGTATCGAACTGAGAAAGTTCGGTAAGAAGAACGTGTGGTGAAATAGACAAATGAAATTATATAAACAGTTTATTTACTGTCATAACATACAAAAAGCTCGCGCCTGTGAGATATCAACAAAACATTAGGAAACTAGCTCACACCAAAGCCTTCACAGAGTATTCACCAGACAGCCCGCTTCCAAGTTGCGCGAACCTATTTCACTGCGCACGTGCTATGAGCGCAGCCAGCTGTTGAAACCCGTATTCCCCAGAAAAGTCTGGGGAAAATTAGTGAAACGTTTGAACTCCGATTTCGCGCGTTTTTTTTTTCATCGCGTTATTTTTCAACTTTATAAGTTGAATTTGCATTTTTTGACGATTTGTTTCGGTAAGTCCATACCGAAAGGTATAAGAATCTGCAAAGTTGTGTTTTACGTTGCATGTGACCTTTAACATAACCATTATGAAAGAAAGACATGTAAGATGTTAATCAATAGATGAGACATATTCAACACACAAATAAAGGCATAAAATATCTTTGAGATGACCCCTTGTGCCTGTAAGCAGCACATGCATTTCATGCCAGGTGAGTCGACGGTCGGTCATCATACACAGGCTGAGCGACCTCAGTTCCCTCTTATAGTCTGATATATTATTTTCAGCAGCTATTAGTATTTGTTTTCTAAGTTATGTCCGTGTTTACGAATAAACATGCTTTTCTGGATATCCTACGCTTTTCTGGATATCTATTACGCATCCAACTGAACGCCCAGTTAGACCGATGTGGGTTATTTCGACAAATGCTATTTGCAATTTTGTAAATTTTAGGGATACAGAGTAACACTTGCTTGATAACGGTGTTAGTAGCTACACGAAACGTCGCACATATTATATTAAAGAAGTTGTATGTCCAAAGACCCCTCCTTCTTGTTTGTTTTTATAGCGATAGTGAGACTCCATGGTAGCTACATCATTAATAGCTTCAGTATTAAAGTTATCATTTTTACGTCAGCTATCATTTATAATGAAGTTAAGTCTAATTTCATAATGTGCATTTTAAAAGTGTCCTTTGTAATACAATATCATCGCACACTAATTTGCATAAAGCCATGGTCTGTCACTTTGGAATTTAAAAAAAATCCGCATGGTTCATTCCTGCACTAATCTCTCCTCGGCAAAGTCCCTTTTTCTACGTTTCCTATATCCCTAACACTGAAGACTGTAGCTAGGCCGAATTTCACATAGATATTTCACACTTTCACATATTAACTACATAAATTGTAGCTATAAATGTGAAAAAAGGCTTTTCTATTTCCGACAGTACTTAAATATCGTTGTCGGCACTTGTGCACGTGCTTCTCGTACATCTAACTGTTCCTCTCTTTGTACTTCTCCCTCGTAACAAATGCTGTGTCAATATTGTTAAACAACCTTTTCGTTTTAGGACATATATTCTGCACAAATAAATCACAGAGTTGGTCTGATGTTTTGATTATGATCAATCCGAGATCTAGGGGCAAGTAACACGTTGTATTTAGTTGTTGACATTGCCTATGAACGTCTTATAAATGAGACAGGGGTGTTACACAGGCTTGAGATAGATTAAGAAACCCACCAAACAGGCTGCTACAGACATAGTAGGTGGGACGTTGTTTTTTCTTTAGAAGTAGTAATGTAGTTCAGCGACGCGAGTTACAAATAAAAAAATAATCGATTTCACCATTGATCTGTTTCGTCGTAGCCATGTAGCAAGTGTTGACAGCAACAGGTTATCGAGAATGTTATAAATTGCACTCGATAAGAAACTTCACGAGAGTCATATTTAATTTGTTCTGTTATGCAGCATCATATGCTCTGAACATATTTTGGCAAATGAGTTGACGGGGTTGAGCAGAATGTTCTTTGTATATATTTTTGAAAGTGTTTGTGTATGTGAGTGACTGAGTGAGTGAAAGTTGGTGGGTAAGTGCAGTGGAACCTTGTGCACTGTGTAATAGGTAACAGTCGTGCTACAAGAATGGGTGAAAGAGTTCAACGAAGCCAGTACACTCACTCTCACTCTCACTGGGTTGTCTGGTCCAAATTCGATTATTTACAGACCGCCGCCATATAGCTGGAATACTGCTGAGTACGGCGTAAACTAAACTCACTCACTCATAGTTTAAACAAGAGTTCTCAATGCGGACAACCCGACATAGATGGGTTTCATTGTGGATTTTAATGGTTTTAATGTGACACTGATGTTGGTCGAGTGTACCAGTGAAGCAGCATCAGCAGCAGTTTTTTATTTACATCATTCCATTGGTTAAATACACACAAAACAACAGGAGAAAAAATGCTTACATCGGTGAACAACAACAACAACAGCAGCAGCAGTACCAACTACAACAACAACAGCAGCAATACCAACTACAGCAACAACAGCAGTACCAACTACAACAACAACAACAGCAGTACCAACTACAGCAACAACAGCAGTACCAACTACAGCAACAACAACAGCAGCAGTACAAACTATAACAGCAGCA